CCAAAGAGATCCTCTGCTCAATGTTAGAACTGTCTTTGCTTTCAGACTAAAGATGTATCGGGATTAGCCAGAGCAAGCAGCAAAGATCCTGCCCTTCCTCTACGCTCAAATAGGGTCAGACTTTTATTCTCCCTTAGGTGAAGGAAGTGTGGTGTACATGGGCAGAGGGACAGGCACAGAACCTGTGTGTCAGGGAGTCAGCGTTCACTGTTCTCGGGGAACCTCGTGGTTCAAAATGGCTGCTGGGCTGCAGACACCCAGATTCCAGGAGGAGAGAATGCTCCGCTCTCTAGCTCTCTAGGGACGTCCTGGAAGTCACGCACAGAGAGGAGAAGCTGCCCCGAGGGCTGGGGTGTGGTCTTTCTATAGCTGAGCCACTAGGATGTGTCACTGAGTGAGAAAGAAGATAAGCCACAGCCGTCTGTGCCCTGCTGGGGACCCCTGGGGCAAGAGGTGGTGGCACTTGATGGAGAGCTGAGGGGCTGGCGCTGCAGCCCCAGGGGCAGGGACAGCCAGGAGGTCAGAATGCTGGGGCAGAGGGGGGGCATGATGGCTCCTGCCAGAGTGCACATGTGCCCCGGGCCAGCCAATCGATGCCTGGCCCCGGGATTTTGTCCCTCCATCTGCAGCGAGTGGCAGGTGCCAGCCCGCTGGTCACAGACTGGAAGGGCTGGCATGGCAGCTGCCGCAGCCACGTCCTCGGCCCTGAGGAGCATTGGGAGGAAATGTGGCCAGGCAGAGCCAGGCGCGGAGGGGACACAGGAGAGGGAGGAGGACCGTGGCTGTTGGAGATCCTCCGCGGAGTCTTGCCCGAAGCCAGTCTCTCTCCTGGGCTCCTGGGAATCTTCTCCACCGTTCGGGGTTTTGTTGGGTGTGGGGACTGAACCCAGGGGCTTCGCCACCGAGCCACACCCCAGCCCTTTTTATATTTGTTTACAGACAGGGTCTGAGTTGCTCAGGGCCTCACTAAGCTGCTGATTTGAACTGGAAATCCTGCTGCGCGGCAGCTGGCTGGCCCCCACAGTGCACCTGCCTCCTCCTCTTCCCGGTACAAGGACCCACCTGCCTGCAGGTTTCCTGGCTCCTCTCAGACACACTGCTGCCCCCAGTGTGTTCAGTGTGGGCCTCGCTGCAGACTCCGGGGCTCCTCCGGGCTGAGTGGGCCCTGGCCACCTAGGGGTATCGTCCAGCGGAGAGGCAGCCTGGCTTCTGGACGTCAGGGGTGCATGCGTGGGTGCAGGTGGTGGGGATCTGCAGGGACGCACAGGGATGTGGACTGGCTGCTTCCGTCCTAGACGTAGGTCACCCACCCTGAGCTGTGGCCCACGGACCCTGGGCTCTCGGGCTGTGCCCACACTGCACACACTCTGCCGTGGGTCCTCCCTATTACTCAGCCTCCTGAGGGTGTCCCTGGCTGCGGTGCCCTGCCACTGTGTCCATGCTGCCCAACAGCAGGTCCTCTCCCTCATGGCTCCAGGATGGACCCCTCCTCTGGCCCAGGTGGAGCCTCTCTCTGGGAGGCCAGAGCTGGGCTGGACTGTCCCCTGGACAAGGGCGTGTGGACCCCATGCTGGCGCCAGCGCTCAAGACGGCTGTCCCCACCACTGCTCTGCACACGTGCCTGGTCCTGCCACCAGCCTGCAGGGCTCTGAGGGCGAGTGGCTGGGGCCGGGCCCTGGTGGGAGGTCCCTCCCAAGACCCCATGTGACCTGTTCCACATTGATGTCTTGTGACCAAGGAGCATCCCTTTGTCTCAGCCTCTCTGTGATCCACTGCTTGTCTGGGTGGTGAACGGGATCCCGCTGGGGTTTCCAAGGACATCTGTGGCCCGTTCCTTCCTGGAGGACACTGGGATGCGTCGTGTCCCTTCTCACCAGGGACGTCCCGGGATGAGAGCATTTGCCCAGGATGTGCCATTTAATTCCGGAAAGTCCACTCTGAGATTGCAAAACGATGGGAAAGTTCACCAAGCCAAGCCCCCCTCCTCTTACTTCTCCGGCCCATTTAAAAATAATATCGACTAGGACTCGCCCCGAGTTGACGGCGTCCCAGTTCTTCTCTGTTTGTTACCCGCTGAATGGTTTAAGGGAGAGAAGAGAAATGCCCCGTTACCGCCGGCATTCTGCAGATGGGGTGCTGAACACGGAGAGGGAAAGCGGTCTGCTCAAGGCCAACAGCTTGGGAGTGGAGTTGCCGGGACGTGAACCAAGCCTGACTGGTCCCTGACCATGGCACCAACAAGCAAAGAAAGGACTCAGCCAGCCCCTGGGGTGGTCAGCCTGGGAAACAACTGTAGCTCAGAGAGGTCAGGTGACTTCAGCAAACACACACAGCAGGGGCAACGGAAGTCAGGATTCAAGCTTGCTTGTCTAGATGCAAAGAGGGTGCCTTGTTCTGCTGGGTGACCTCGCCGAGCTCCCTAAGGAGGACAGGTGGTTTTATTGAGTGTCTGCTTTGCCAGGCCCCGTGTTATAGGTTGTGAAACAGGTCGGCAAATCCTCTGATTTCCATGGGCACAGAAATAGGGTCTGTGCTCCCTCCCCTGACCCTGGGCGAGCTCTGTGTCCGGGCAGTGGAGTAGGACAGACCCAGACCCTGGCTCCAGGAGACTGTGCACCCCCTGCCGGGGGGCCAGACACTTCACCACAGTCTCCCCACCGCACCCTGCCAGGCAGGAAAGGCCACCTGGGGGCCCTGCAGCCACCGTCCCCCGTCAAATGCCAGCCCTGTCGGGGAACCAGCCTGGGCATCCCCACGGGGGAGCCTTCAGGTGTCCACAGCCCCGGCTGGTGCTGACTGGCCCCCGCAAGGGGCCCCTGCGTAGAGCACCTGTTGCACATTCCTGACCTACACCATCCCAGGCAAAAAAGAGTAGTTGTTGAGAGTCCTACATTTTGGGACGCTTTGTTACACAACAATACTAACTATACCGTCACATCTGAGAAATGTATTCCTCTCTCCTGAAACACCAACACAATGAAAATCCAGTGTGTCCCCTGTACTGCAGCAGACCCACGCGCCCACCCCCAAGGTCACGGGGAACACCACCCGCCCCACAGGAACGTGTTTCCCACAGTTGGAGGCTGGAAGTCCAGGTCTCGGCCAGCGTCTGCTGAGGGTCTCTGTGTCGCACATGGTGGGAGGCTCCCGAAGCTCACTGGTTCTCTTCACAGGGACACCGATCCCGTTGCAGAGCCACAGACCGAGTCACCTCCTGCACCTCCACCTACTGTCCTCCCATTGGCAGTGGGTTTCAACACGGGTCATCCGGCCAGACCCTGGGGCCCGGCACCCGACTGCCTGAGCTGGGGTCTCAGCCGGACCAGTGAACAGCCAGGCGCCTGTACTTCCCAGCAGGCAGTGCTCAGTGGTGGGCATGGCTAGGCCCAGGGGGCTCAGCAGGGAGGACAAGAAGACCCCAGATGGAAAGGAGGCAGGGAGGTCTGGAAGACTCTGACCATGGCAGAGTCTGGGGCAGCTCGGCCAGGGGGTGACAGGCTTGTTCCCTGTGGGCAACTCTGCCCTCGGTGTCTCTGGTGTCCCAGGTCATCCTGGGCCAGCAAGGAGTCAGCAAGTTTTCCATCAAAAGCATCTGTCAGGAGGTGGAGGTCGCAGAGTAGTGGACACTTCATTGTTAACCCCCGCCCCCCACCCAAATGTCTCCCATGAAAATCGGATCCTTTGTAACTTCCCTGCCCCGTGTTGTGGGAGCCTGGAGCAATGGTGAAGTTTATTTCACCCCCTGTACACCGGGCTTACAGGCCACAGGCACTGGCAGCTGAGCTGGCAAACACATGGGTTCAAATCCTAGAGTCTCCACTTTGGAGCTCTGTGACTTTGGGAAAGTGATTTGCATTCTCTGTGCCCAGTTTCTTTATTGGAAAAATGGGAGCTGGCCGCAGTGGCACACACTTGTAATCCCACCTACTCAGGAGGCTGCTCTGAGACCCCAGCAGGGGCCTGCTGGGCTGCTCATGGCTGCATAGCACAGGGCCAGCACAGGGCCAGCACAGGGCCAGCACAGGGCCAGCACAGGCCGCGGTGGGTACTGAGGAAGAGTGAGCTTGTTCCGGGGTCTTCATGCAACTACAGCATGCTGGAGGCTGCCCCGTCCTGGGCCTGCGCCAGCACCGCGGTTTACACATCAGGTCCACTTTTACCTGACCAAGCGGGGAGCAGGCAGGTCCTCAGCTCTTCTGGCCTCAGTTTCTTCACCTGCCCGCAAAGGACCCGGAGTTACGTGTTCCCAAGGCGCCTCGGACTCTCAGTTGACCTAGGGCTACCCCTGCACAG